CCCCTGTGGGGCCTGCTGTCCCCTGTGGGGACCCCTGCTGTCACCTGTATAGGGCCTGCTGTCACCTACGGGGAGCCTGCTGCCACCCCTGTGGGGCCTGCTGTCCCCTGTGGGGAGCCCTGCTGTCACCTATAGGGGACACCAACACCCGTACCTCCAAGGGCCTTGCTGTCACCCATACAAAACCCCGCTGACTCGCCCCTACAGGCCCTCCCGTCGCCTGCGGGAAGCCTGCTGTCACCGGTGGGGGATGCTGCTGCACCCCTGCATGACCAGCCCATCCCAACGGGAAGCCCTCCCCACAGGGCCTGCTCTCACCCTGCCGGCCTCACCCCAATAGGACCTGCTTAACCCTGTAGAAATCCCTCTTGGACTCACCCTTTAGGGCTTGCTGTCACCGATAGGATCCAACTTCATGTCAGCAACACCTTGGGGCTCCCCTTCTCCTCCCCCAGACCCTGCAGCCCCCACCCAGCTTTGCCCTCCTGCCCTGGTGCATCGAGCTGAAACCAAATCCCGCCTGACTGATGTGGGTTCGTGGTGCCGGGGGGATCACCAGGTCCCCCCAGGTTGCGTGGGGCCACAGTGGGAGCACAGACACCCCCACTCCTGGTGCCAGTAAGGCCTGGCCTTACCCAGCTGCAAGGACAGAGGGTGCCAGGAGGCAGGACAAGGCCATCCCATGCCTGAAGTTCCCTGACACTCAGCTCCTTACAGACCAACCCGCAGGAAACACGTCAAACTGCGGGACTAAGGAGAATAAACCCGGGGGATTGTCTGGTTTGTTTTGATCCTTGCAAAAGTAAAGATGCCCCGAGGGAGGGTGTGGAGCCAACGCAGCACACTTGGCCCCCAGGGGCAGCAGCCCCCAAAGCTGCTCCTGCATTTTGCGTCACTTGTAGCCTGCAGTTCCACAAGCTGGTGTCTCTTTGGCCTTTGTCCTTCCCCATCTCCTCCCCCTGTCTTTTTCTGGGTTGGCATCTGAAGCTTGGCACCTCAACTTCGGTCCAGCAAGTGGGTTTCACGCCTGTGTGTGGTTTCCAGGGCATGGCAGGAAAGTGTCTCCCTGAAGGAGCTGCAGCGCAGGGGCGTCTGCTTGCTGAAACTCCAAGCTGCCAGCCAGAGGACTGGCCTCTACGGACGGCTGCTCGTGACCTTTCAGCCTAGAAAGTGCGATTCAGACGCCGAGCTGCCCTATAACAGCTTCGGGCCTGGTAAGTGATGTTCCTGTCGGTGCAAAGTAGGTGAAGTAAGAGATAACCAGACTCTTCTTCCTGACATCTTTCTAATGGGATATTCGCAAAGGCTGAGCAACTGATGCAAAAAATGAGGGGTGAAAATGTGATGGCTGCAGGATGAATGTAGAGAAAAACAGCCTCTTGCTGTCGGCTTGTTGCGGACGTGTGTGTTGCACCAGGCAATAGTGCCCATCATCCAAGTGCTGGCTTTCCTCCCCCTGAATCAACAAAAACAAAGCCCTGGTCTCTTGTCCTCAAAGATTTCGTTGCATTCCTGGTACAAGCCAAAGTGTCCATGCTTATGTCTTGCGGTAGGCAGGGAGCTTTGGTTGCTGGTCTCCCCAAAAGAGCTGCGTTTCAAAATGTCTGTCCCCCTCGCACTCGCTCTTCAAACTTGTCCCTGCAGGGGACATCGTGGGCCTTTACGACTCCGCTGGCCAGGCTGATCCGCTCTCCACCGGCATCGTCACACGCGTCACCTCCAGAGCAGTGACCGTTGCCTTTGAGGAGTCCCAGGGCGACGTGCTGAGCTTGGACCGGGAGGGCTCCTACCGCCTGCTCAAACTGGCCAACGACGTCACCTACCGCAGGCTGACAAAGTAAGGGCCACGGGGCGCGGCAGCCCGCTGGGAATTGCCCAGGGTGTTCTGGAAAAGCTCTCCTGAAGCAGAGCTCGCTTTACTCCGCTTGGCTCAGTGTCTGTCCTGTCTCGTGGCTCTCACTCCTGGAGCAGCTCTGCTGGGGGGAGGCATCCCCCTGTTGGAGGCTCCTGCCTTTTTCTGCTGGCGCTGGGGGCACCCGCACCGAGCGCTCGGCTGGGTGGGTTCTGCTACAGCATCACAGCAGCCCCAGCTATCTGCCTGCTGGCTGGTGCGGTCCTGCTCTTCCCTCCGCCTCTCCCACCCCTCATCCCACGCCCAGCTACGTACTTTGGTCCCGTGTTGTGTCGCCTCTGGTACTCACTGGGTTCTGTGTAGAGCCTTTTCCATCCTGGCAGGAGAAGTGGCCGCTCTTTGCTGAATTTGTGGGCAGAAGAGGCTCAGCACAGCGTCTGACTGTCAGACTGGGGTAACAGGGAGAAGCGGCGGTCTGGTCGGCGTGAGGGACGTGTGTGTGAGGGCTGGGGGGTGCAGCAGTGACATAGGATTAGTCTGCTGAGGAATAACATTTTCCAGCTTTGGGAGAGTTGGGTCTGTGCGCACAGAGTTCTGTCACTGGGCGCTAAGGTGCCCGGGGATCTGAAGGAGTTCGTGCCGTACCTGTAACCTGGCTCTTTTCTTCCTTGACAGAGCTTTGACTGCACTAAAGCAGTATCACGGTGGCCCAGCCTCTGATCTGATCGACGTCCTCTTCTTTTCTTCTGAGCCCAGCGCATTCAGTGAAACAAGTAAGGCTGCTTCTTTATCAGGTCTTGTACCAGACTGATGGCAGGTGCTGGACTGATCTTTCTAGAGAAGTTTTCCACACCCCGAGGGTCAGAGCCCCTGGCCTTTCACAGCCAAGCACGCGCACCGAGGCTGCTGCTGCTTTCAGTCTGCCTTGGTACGTGAAGCGGAGTTACGCAGGCGGAGAGCTCTGCTGGGTGGGCTGGTGAGAGCAGCGGTGGTGCTGCTCTCATGCCGGTTTTAGCAGATAAGAGGGTTATTGTGGGGAAAGGAGGGAGCGAAATCTTCACCCTCCAGAGCAATCAGCGAAGCCTGAAGTTCCCTACCCACAGGACAGGGGCCCTGCGCTCTGTCCCTGCCCAGGTAGGAGGGTGCTCAGCTCTTCGGGCGCCACGTCAGGCAGAGGCAAAGAGCCTCAGAGAGGAGCAGGCATTTCCCACACCCGGCTGCCGTCACTCCTCTTCCAGTCCTCCGAGGCCTGTCTCTGGGGCTGACCAGCTGAGAAGGGCGCTTGTGGTCTCCCTGTTTGAGACCCGTTCTTCGAAATTGCCCGTGGGAACACAAGGAACTCTGATCTTTGTGGAGCTCTTGTCCGCACCAGACATGCAGCCTGCTTTGCTCTGGGAAAGACCCGAGTACTGGGGGTGAGTGACCAGTGGTGTTGCAGCTGGCAGCATCGCACACTTACTGGTTTATGGGTCGCTGGGCACACTTTGCTCGTGTAAAGATGAGAGGGAGTGTTCAGTTAGCTCATCCTCACTTTTCTCAGAGCCTACCAAGTAAAGCTGAATTCTGGCATAAAACAGGCAGGATTTGTGCTGGGGGAATTTGTTTGCACACGTTCATGAGTCTGAAATTCAATTTAGTTTACGAGGCATTTCTTATTAGCTTCCTGCCCCAGTGCCATCCATAAACTTCAGAGATCAGAAACTGCCAGCGCTGCTTCTATATTGACAATGCAATAACTGCCTTCACGGGAGTTAAGTGACTGCGGAACTACTGCAGTTTGGAACGGCACGGGAACGCTTGTATTTTTATTTTTACAGCCTTCTGATTGCGTTCAGCCAAGTTGGAGATGTGCAGGCTGCTCTGGTTTCATCAGATACTTAAAACCTCACAACTTGGTTTTACCAACAGCTGTCAGAAAAATCGCGTACAAGTAGAATCCCCTTTTACCTGGATCTTTTGTGATGTGAGCCCGCGGAAAAAACGGAAGCTGAAATTACGCAGCTTACCCTTTCAGAGAAACCCTGGGGGAACCAAAGCCTCCGATCAGCAGAATGTCCGAGTGCTCGGCGGCTGCTGACGAGTGTTATCCCTTGACGGGAGGGAAATGTCATCCGGGCTGCCACGGTCAGGGAGCCAAGGCAGAGGGTGGGTTCAGCTCCTCGCAGGGTGGGGCCGGCAGCCTGTGCCTGAGCCGCGCGGAGCGCCCAGCTCTCCCCTCTGCCCGCTCGGCCGTGCCACGGGGGACGCCCTCCGTCCCCGCCTGGTTCCGTGCTGGCCAGGGCTCTGCTGGGTTCCCTCCCCACCACCGCAGCCGGCGCTCTGTGCTGGCTGTGGCAGCTTTCCCCTCGCGTCCGTTGCTGCGTTTGGTTGTCCACAGTGGTTCACCCCTTCCACGGAGACACTCGCGTTCCCCGGCAGCGCACCTTCAGGCTGGGCTTCCCACACACACCACATAGCAAGGCCGAAGAATGAACGTTCGTGTGAGTCGTCCCTCTGTAGTTGTGAGCCCTGAGCTTAGTCTGAGTCAAACCTCTTAGCCTTTTGGCCGCCTAGGGACTAGGTGCCCTCAGGTTTTTAATGTTAGATAAAAGACATACATTTTAATGAACCGACTTTCTTAGCAGCTTCAACTCTGCTTTTTCCCTCGTGGCAGCAGAACTGCCTCTCTAGTGAAGAAAAGTTCATTTTCCCCAGATTGCTCAGATGTGCCAAACTGAGCAGAGAGATGAATTTTTACGTCTCCCCAGCCCTGAGAGCGCGGGTTGGTAGGAACATTCAGGCGCGTTAGACAGACAGAGGAGATGCAATGTGAGAAGGCAGCGCATCACCTGAGAGCAGCCGCGTGCTCTGGCAGGGTGGCAAGGCCTTCCCTTTACCTCCTCGCTTCATAGCCCCTTTCTCCCCAACTAGAAAGATGTTATTCCAGCCAGGGATTAAATAGTAATGACTCTAACTTTAAATGGGTCCTGCAAGGTGCCTTGAACTGCCAGCGTCCGCTGAGCTGACGGGGAGGGCGCTCAGCAGCTGGCTGGATAAGTCCTGTCTCTTACGCTTACGTGATGGCACCTGCAGTGCCCCAGGTGTCCCGTTCACCTCAGGACACAGGGACGTGTCTCTGCAAATGGTATAAAAACTCGCCGGTGCGTGGACTGTCTGCCAAAGGCAGCGAGTGTTTCCCAAGGGCATGCTCTGACACGGAGGGACAGAGAAACCTCACAGCATTTCAGGCGACGTCACACAGCGTCTCCTTTCGTGTCCGAGCCCCTCTCAGCCTGGTTCCTTAGGGAGGTGCCCGTCAGAAGTCTCAGAGTTACTACGTTCTGTGCGCCTCGTAAAACCGGCTGTCTGGACACACGTCTGTGTTAAGGCCATTTCAGGACACAGGATAAGCTCCACTTCAATCCCAGAAAGCCGGGGGTAGGAGTGAGACCATATAAACACCCGCTCAGAGAAAGAGCTAGCAGTGGTGCTTGTGCAGGAGAGGAAGAGGAGGGCCCAGAGCAGATGGGATCCATACCTGCGGGGGGAACATTTGTCACTGTCCTCTGTACAAACAGCGGGAACCAAATTACAAGGAGATCGAGAAGCAGAAGGGCCAGAGGAGATCACAAGTGCCCAGCTCGATGCCTGGATGTTCAAGGGTGTCCTGCCAGGGGCAAAAGAGGGTCCAGCAAGTCGTACGTGCAGCAGCAGCATCCTGAATCTAACAGAGCGCGGGGAAAAAACCAGAAGCCTCATTTTTCAAGCAGGGAAGTCTTGGGGCTTTTGGGTGGGTTCCGATACCATCGTGCATTTTCCTAAAGCGTGTAGGGGCTTGATGTCAAATTGATCAGGAACTGGCCGGCAGGTCCAGGTGTGAACTGAGAGGGCACCAGGTAGCCAGCAAGTCTGTGCCAGCCTCGTGTCCTCCAGAGCGCGGCTGCAGCAGCCGGGTGCAGCACTCGGTGCGGGGCCGCGACGCAGAGCGCTCACCAGCACCGCCGAAGGGCGCGACAGAACCTCCCAGTTCCCCCCTCTGCTCCGCTGGTGCTTTCTGCTGGGGGCTGTCTCCCAACACAGAGCCTCGCGACCTGGAGGGAGAAGGGAAAAACATCTGTTTGGGTTTCTTATTTCCCAAAAGGGGGGTTATCCAGGGTCTCTTTAGGGCATACCCAATAGGGCTACATGAGCCTCGTGGCCTGTCTGGTGAGTACCTTCTAGTGGCTTATTTTTGCTGGGCTGTGATCTTCTCACGACTGGGTGGTGGCTGTTTGGGTTATCTCGGGAGAGCAGGCTGCCCAGCGCTGTGCCGGGAGGATCTGTATTAAAGCTGGTGTCATCCCAGGAGGATTCCTGAACCCAGCCACCGACCGATGAGCTTGACAGGAGCCTGATAAAACCAGTAGGAACAGTGTTTTGAAGTAGTTAGTGCCCGCTGGCACCTGACCAGCGCTTGACACCGGCTTGCTAAAACCCATCAGTGTACACAGAAGGGTGACAGTGACAAAGGCAGTTGGTGCCCTTTTGCCCAGCTCCTGCTGCCTGGCAGAGTTGCTGCTGCTGGACTAATTCCCACCCAGCTCTTTCCCACAGCGTCAGGAAAACCCTGTTCAGTACTGGGGGGTGATCCCTCCCAACAGTAGGGGGTACAGGCATGACTCCCACTGGAACAATGTCCTGGGAGCACGTTTTTGGGAGTGGGCTCGTGTAAGACGGTTATCAGTAATTCAGGAAAAAAAAAAAGTCAGACTTTTGACCCTAAGAAGCCTGAAATTAGCTTGTACCGACCTCCTCACCCCGTGGTCTTTACGGGCACCAGGAAATCTCACCTCACAGCCGGGGGGTTCTCGCGCCATCGCTGCTGCAAGGTGCTGGGGTTGTCCCTCAGGGTCTGGCCAGGAGCGCGTTTGGGCTCAGGGTTGAGCAGGGCCAGCCCCGATCAGCGTTTTGGGGACTGGACTGTGAGGGACAGCCAGGGGCTTCGGGTTTGGTGCGGAAGGCTGGTGGCTCCCATCGGCTGTGAGCGGCAGGGGTGTGCTGGAGGCGGTCTCCTACAAAGGGCGTAGCTGCAGCGCTGCTGGGGTCACGCAGAGTGTCAGTGCGCTCTCACAAGGCCGCAGCGCTGGCAGGGCCAGAAGGGTTGTGTTTGCTGCCGTCTGCACTGAAGCTGTGCTTTTCGTCTCTCCTCCTGAGCTGCTGGGCTTGTGCACAGGTTGGGGCGTTACCTGTAGCACTGGGCATCAAAGGCCAAGTCCTTTCAAAAACGCAGCTCAGGATAGGTATCCTTGGCGTAACACAGAAACACAGGACAAAATGACCTACGGAGCAGTCGAAAGGAGCGTACGAAGGGCTCACCAGTGAGCAGACGAGCAGCTAGGTATGGGACTGGTCCCCACCACAAAGCATTTCCAACCCTTACCTTGCTGCCTCCGGAAAGGTACCAAGTGGGAGAATAAGCTTTCTAAAAGGCAAACTCTGAACTGAACAGGATTTCTGCTCTTGTCAGGCTCTCTGGGAGGCAAAATCCAGAAGCCCGTCCATAAGAAACGCTCTGCCTGGCGCTCTGCCGCTTTAACCTGCACTCGTGGCCCAGAGGCATTTAGAGCTTTGGCTCCAGAAATCCTTCCCTGCTCCCAGCTGCCGGGCACAGGGAGCCCTGCACCCGTACGGGGTGCGGGATGTGCGGAGAGGCTGTGCTTGCCAGCAGAGGCCAGCATTGCTCTGCGTCCTGCGTGGACACATTCCCTTTTCTTTCCGAAATGAGGTTATGCTCTATGGCAGGCATAACCCTGGGCAGATCTCTAGTAACTACCAGCTCTCTCCTGTAGTCCTGGTCTGGAAAAAGCGAGGGGGTGTTCATCGCTGTGCCCAGACACTGGCTGCCATGGTCACGTGGAGTGCGAAAGGCAGGGCTTATGTCTAATTCTGCCTGTTGCTGTAAAAAGACATTTGAACGGAGAAAGAAGGAAGAAGAAAAAGCCTGGTTGAAAGGCAGGGGTGTCCCCAGTACAGCTGACCCAGCGGGCAGAGCACGGGGGAAGCACCAGGGATTTTTAGGAAAACTTCCTCGGCTTCGTCGCACAACTCCAGCGCGTGTGACAGGTCACTTGCAAAAAATCTTAAATGCTCCTCGTCCCCCTGCCATGTGGGGCCTCCTGCCGTCCCAGGGGTGTGAAGAGGCCCTCAGATCTATGGGGACAGCTAAGCAGCGCAGACGGCTCAGCTGCCAAATACTTCATAGGGAGAGCAGGGAAAGCTCCTTGTTTCAGGCGTCATCACCCACCTGGATTTTGTCCAACAGCGTTGGTCTGCAGTTAGGTTGTTCTGTAGGGGGCCTGGTCCAGTTTGCTCTTGGTGCCCGTACGCACCGATGGCGAGGAAGGTACTTTGGAAGGTACATTTTGAAGGGAGAGGCCTCCAGCCCTGGAGAACTTGAGCTCTTCCTCCCAGGAGGGACTGTTCCCATCCGTGTTTGGTGCAGAGACCCCTTTCCTGTGCTTGAGCACCACCCTCCAGCCCACTTCTTCACCTGAACTGCTGCACCG